GGCAGCGACGGGCGAGCGGGCTGCGACAACTTAGATAAAAAAACGGAATCTTAAAACATATTTTTGGTGTTTTGAGAAAAGTGTTTAATTTTTAGATTTTACCTGATATTCAAACATACAATGAAACAAAATAGCAAATAAGTTTACTATTTCTTATGACCCACATGCTTTGCTTAAAAATTGGCTAATTAAATAAATTTACTTTTTTCAAGAAATTCCTCTCTTCATAAGGGGTTCTTTGGGATGCTGCACATTATAAAATCTGTGGATCTTTCTGAAAAAGATTTTGTAAGCTTTAAGATGTGGCTAATGCCTAAATCTCAGTTAAATTTGCGTATTTACTGTGCTTTGGATTTGTATACTCAGGATTTTTGATAATTTCTGTAACTAATAAATGTAAAGAAATACTTGTATCATGTAAATGAGAATCGTCTTCGATGCTAAAAATTTTAATGCTTTTAAAAAAATTAATTTAGCTATAATCGTTACTTATATGATTACTTTGCTAAATTGGTTTCACATTATGAAATCTGTGGATCTCTTCATAAGAGCTGCTTTGCTAAAGCTCTATTAAATTATTTTACAGAAAAAAATTTAAAAATTATCTTTTCTGTGTCCACCTCCGATTTCAATGTTTTCTTTGGCTGTTTGAAATAATTGTAAACCTATTTTTCATTTCTTGTCTAAAATGTACATTAAAAGAATAGAAGCATAAAAAAATAACCACATTAGGATTAACTTACATAAATATTTTCCAGAATAGTAAATGTTCAAATAGACCAGATTGAACATCATGGTAACATCTTAATTCATAAAGTCGTATATTATCCATTTTAACTTCTTTTTAAGCTGGAATACACCGGGGACGGTATCTTAAACGTAAAGGGGAAATGTGTCCTGGCTCCAAAAGCAGAAACTTCATGTGCTGCAGTCCCTTCAACTTTCCCCCATGTGGTTCAGCCCATTGAAGTGTGACATTTTATGCTGCAGCCCCTTTTTAGTAATTATTACCTGCTAACTAAGCGAAAATCTCCAAAATAACCTTATCCCCTCTCCTCAATCCCTCAAACCCAACGCTCTATCATCTCCTCTCTCTCTCCCCCCCC